CACACACACACACACACCACCTAAAACAAACACATACCACACACACATTTTTAGGCGGGCAACCACCACACGTCGCTAATACTTTCAGCCTACCGCCGTCCGCCACTTGATCATCGTTGTCGCCGCCTCTACATAATCGCAGGTCGTCGCCGCCTTTGTCAACACCCGCCGTTGTCAACCACAATGTCAGGCCTATCGTCCATGTCGCCTCCATCACCACCCCTGCTATCGTCATCTGCCCGCTTGTTATCTTGTAGCCGCCACAAACCTGCAACTGTAAAGCTCGTCCACCGCTGTCAGCCACATGTTCAAGCTTGTCGGCCATGTCGCCTCCATCACGCTCTGCCGCCATCATCATCCCACTAAATAGTCCTAGGAATCCATTTTGGAAGGGGACAAAAAATTCTCTATCTGTAGATTCTCTCATTTATTACGATAATTAATACAACCAAGGCAAAGCATCCGAGCTCGTACCCATCAAAGTCAGAGTCAGACATCGATATATTTCTTCCATGTGCAAAATTACCTCTAATCGTTTGGTTGTGACCGCTTATCCGACCAAAGTAACATAAGCATCAAATATTATGTACTTTTTTTATGAAAATGATTAAAATTCTAGTACATTCTACTCTTAATTTCTAGATCTATCTCGACTTGCATGTAGGCACAAATAATATGTTCACTAAGGTAAGAGATTAGCATATCATACATGATGAGTTGGTTCCAAGATTACAAAATCTCAATATTTTAGGATCACGACGTCTTAACAGTTAACACATAATTTGGCACATGAAGAGGTGCCCATGCAGGAAAACGAACATTTCCGTAACTTGTAGTAACATTTGTTATTATCTAAGTACAAGTAACTCAGAAATTCTATGGTGCCATATGTGGCACGTGTTATGGTGCCACAACATGATGTGGCACATTATGATTGGTGCCACAACATGATGTGTGATAGTTGTGGCACCAATCATAATGTGTCACATCATGTTGTGGCACCATAATATGGTGTCACATGTGGCACCATAGAATTTCTGCAAGTAACTTTTGTACTGCATTTAACATTAGATCATGAATTATTTATATACTAACATATATATAAAATGCATTACAATTTATACAAGTATCAAAACCAAATACAGCAAATGCAATGCCCAATGAGTGCTTGTGTATCCCGTTAAACTACTTTAAAAAGGAAAAGAAGAAAAAAGGTAAAACATATTTATGTACATTGTTTTGGACAAGTCTCACACGAGAGGAAACTATCATTGAACAAACAAAAATCCCATATGATGCCAAAAGTTACAAAAATTTATCTCAGTATAGATGTTGCTTATGTTGTCCAACAGTGTTTGCATTTTTCTCACAGCTAAAAGCTTCTGCAATCAGTCTAACCACAGTATATATGCACTCTCACAAAAGCAAGAATGTGTTGTCCTAATTTTACAAGCAACTAATACTATACTAATCCGCATCGCTTACAAAAATTCCAAAGATTTTGCTCTCTTTAAAAAGAATGCGTAACTAAATTTGTCGAGCAACCAATGTGGAGTATATTAGCTCGTTCCAGGCATCAGGCACCCCGGGCAGACACCAATGGCTACAATCTTGTCTCCGGGT